GGAATCAGAAAACTAAATATTATCATGTAATGGAGCCATTGACAATTTCTAATTTTTTTATGTCATATAAATTCTACTCAACAGTCACAGTGCCCTTTGCACTTACAGGACATCAATTCATGAATCAACAAATTTCACCCCTGCTTTCTTGACGAGATTTTCTGTTGCCATCAGAATTTTTGAAGCAGCCCAGACCTTTTGTAGACGACGAGAATTATGCTAAAGATTTACTCCACAAATTGCATAATACTTTCGAATCAGCAAGGGAAAACATTTGGAGGAAGCTGCAATTGAGAGCCGTGATGGCATTGAGTGTTCGCCTTAAGTGAACCGGATTCGAATCCCAGAGATGGCTAGTCGATACGAACTCCACATTCGGCTCACACCAGCCACAGTGCTGACGTAAAGATGTCCTGAGCGGTAGACGGATCATGAGTTAGAGTCCCCTTGTCGTCAGACTAACAGTGGGAGGTTTTCGCCATTTTCCTCTCCATGTAGCACAAATGCGGGTTACTTCCATCAAAAAGTCCTCCACGAAGGCATAATTCTCCCACCACTTGGTCCAAGAGTTCCCTTGTCTTCTGGATTGGATTCAAAATGACAAGCTACGGAGTTGAACATTGAAAGTCGTAAATCCAAACACTGGGTTGGCTGTCCAACGTTGGTTTTAAAATGAAAAAAAAGGGGTGGGAAAACCGTAGGAATAGACAGTCTAAGAGTGACGAGATTCAAGTGAATGTTAGAGTTACTGGCATGACCCAATGGTGAAGAGGAATAATTGCAAAAATTTTGCTAAACTTATTGAGTGTCCTCTCCGGGTAAGTGGGGTCATATCCCCTGTTACTTTAAAAATACGTGTCAAAAAGATCTTCTTATATTAGGACAACCATATTCGAGGAACCAGTTGTGTCACCGGCTCCAAAAAATTTGAATTATGTGACAGGTCGTTTTGTACCCTTTACTCTGCCTCGTTACAACCTAAGACCACAAAATCATGGCCGAGTCAATTCAATTTTTCCTTTATTTTTTTTTTAAAAAAAAAGGGGGGGTCAAACTAAATTTTTGTTTACGTTTTTCTTGTACATATGCAGAGATGCCAACTTGCTCCGGACAGCAAATATATATTTTAAAGTGGTAGTTTATCAATTGTGATTCTTGGTTTAATAAATTCAATTTAGTAGATTTTTATCCACCACTATTTCTAAATAATTTGTAGGCTTATGTAATTCTCCACTTTATAATACTTATGTCATGCTTATACATTTTAAGAAGCAAGCAAAAATAGTCAAATATTTGCAAAATTTTCTTTGAAGTTATTTACCGTTTTTTTAATTATTTTGGCGTGTCCGGAGCAGTTGGCATATCTGCATATGTACAATATATAATGCGCTTCATAATTTTTTTTTTTTTTGTTTCCTGACCCTCTGTTGTCCGCTCGAAAATATTAGGTTAGGAGTAAAGTTAATTAGTCATGATCTTAAAGTTAAATTTGAACTCTTGTTTTTTTTTTTTTAATTTTTTTGGTTTCCTGACCCTCTGTTGCCCGCTCGAAAATATTAGGTTAGGAGTAAAGTTAATTAGTCATGATCTTAAAGTTAAATTTGAAGTCTTGTTTTTTTTCAATTTTTTTTTTTTTCAATTTTTCATCTATTCATTTATTTTTTGGCTGAGCTCAAATTTAATTCCGCTTTTCTGTTACCTCACAAGATGCAGATTGTTAACCTCTTCGAGACGGGTGAGTCATATATGCATTCTCAGGGTGGCGATAATCAAGATAAAAAAGATAAAAGTGGTAGCCAAACTATTTTTATAACAGTTTATTTGTGGGCGGGGTAATAATAGTTTTCGTTATTAATGTCACCACTACTTAGATCGTATTAGAAATTGTATAGTTACACTTCTAACACACATAGATTGGATGTGTTAGATTTAAAGTGAAAGCAAAAATAAGTCTGTCAAATTAGCTGTGCCCAAACATAAGCTACCGCTTTTTATTTTTCACTATTCTGATACTGATTCCTTAAGAATACATTTATGACTCACCCGTCCTGAAAGGGTTAAGGAATATTTTTTTTAGGGATGAATTCTAAAAGTAGGTTTAAAGCTGTGTAGCAATTTTAGTGATTTTGAAGTTTAAGTGGGAATTTTTTTCTTGTTTTTTGCAAACAGCTTAGAGAAAGAAGAAAAAAAATTTTCATCATTTATTTGTTGTAATTTTCCATTTCAATTTTATGCTTCAAAGAATGAAAATTATTTTTTAATTTTTTTGTGAGATGATGGTATTTCGATAAATCAAAATTTATTGCATGTTATGTAATTTGTGTACTTTATATCTTTCAAATTAATTTTATTACTACTAGAATCGCTTACTTTTTGCCTCAATGGAGAGCAGCACAAATTAACCCAGCCTTATATCAAATCTTTTAATATGGAAAATTAAGTTGCAATTTTAATTCAGAGATGTAATGTTATAGATGTTTTCTTCGATTATATAAAAAAGATTTTTTTTATAGCTGTTGTAATTTATCATATCCTTGTACCAATATGAATTGGTTTCAATAGCAATAACTTATAATTTAGTCATTTAAAACAGAATTGCCATCTAGATGGCACCCCTATGATTCAAATCTTAAATATATATAATANATGTGTTGTATATTGTGGGTAAGTTTCATAAAATTCCATGTGTAATTTCTTGAGTTATTGCGATTTTTGTGAATTTTCCTTAATTTATGATAACCAGTGTATATAATATAGGGTAAAGAATTTTTATTTAATATTCTGTGGTCTCTAAATAAATACTTCCCAGAAACTAAAGCGGGGAGATGTAAGTTTCATTATCTTCAAAAAAAAAAAAATACACGGTTGATAAGTCCCTTTTCAAGAATACCTATTGCTGCATATTCTTTGCATCTTGGGGATAAATTTAATGCCAAATTTAATGTCGATAATGCCAAAATTTTAAACCATCCCCCATAGCACATCAGGTCATCTTGATACCCGGGAATCTTGTTTTATTCATATGAATGCCGATTCCCTTGTTAACGATATGCGTGTCGCATCATCTCCGCAAGGCACGTGGAAATACATTTTCGGTTTTTCCTGTTTTTTTCTCATTTTTATTTGATTTTTTATTTTCTATTTCCATTTTGGGGCACTACGGTTTTTCCAGTTTTATTTTCCATTTTATTTGCGTTTTTTCGTTGACAATTCAACATTTTTGTTTCAGATAACTTTTTTTCCCTTCACTATTGTAATACGATTCTTAAGAATGGACGTTTATTTTCTTCATATTTTTTTAAGCCATTGAAGTGTTAATTAGTAAGTATACCCATTAAGTATACTATGTTACATTTAGATCTTTCTTGATCATTATTTTGATCAGAATCATATGATGAAAGAAGCAAACATCTGCAAATTGTTTTTTCAGCAGATTTCATGCTGTCCTTAAAACATTTTTAAAAAAAAACATGCCACCTATATTGAAATAAAGAAGTTATCTTTAACTTTAAAATTAAAATTTCGAAACATAAGATTTTGTAATCAGATATTAGAAGTTATTGATTATTTAATGCTTTGGTGAATATAAACGTTATAAAAAAAAACATTTATCTTCTTTGCTTTGCTGCCACTATTACAGTTTCTTAAGGACCAAACGAATTCTGCCTAAAATGAGACTATCATATCAGATATGAAGAAAAGAATCGTAAAATAAGTATGTAATAAAAGGAATAAAGCAAATGAATTATGATAGCAATGATTGGTGATCGTACATGTTGAACATGCTGAGAGGCATTTTATGGTGAATTTACGAAAATTCGTTTCAGAATGTATAAAAACGTCAGGATGCTATTTGCAAACTATATTTATCTAAGGAAAGTCGCGTAAGATTTGATAGAATGAAAAGAGTTCTTAAGAAATGATATTTTTAGACATATGTGTTTCAATCTCTTAAAAATTTCACGAGACCTTCACTAATTTCTCCAATTATAAAAAAGGAAATATATTGAATTATATAAAACCATATGAATGTGCATTATGATTTCTTCCAGATATTTTACAATTTTTAAAGGGTCCTTTTCGTTATTTGCCCTACAACTCCGTACATAATTAAAATAATGCAATTTTGGTTTTAGTATAAAATCTTTCTATTTAAAGAAGTTAAAAACAACTTAAAAAATATAAATAATGCCTCATAAAAAAAATCATGTGTTCATATACTAAAATCTTGGAAAATTATAAATAATTTATAAATCTGTTTAGATTTTATTTATTTTTAAAGGAGATGAAAACGAAAGGATTGTTTGCTTTTTTGGGCACAAATCAAATAAATACAAATCTGCTGCCTAGAAGCTTTAAGATAATTTTTCATTAACTATTTTTTTTAAAAAAAATTCGCTTCCGACCCTATTTAACACAAAAACAATGAATGGATTCAGTTTTTCTTTTTTACTCTCTCAGCTTGGTTGCTAGGCAACGGAGTATTTCTCTCTTGTCGATGTCGCAGTTAGACTATGGTTATATAAAATTTCTCCTTCTATGGCGATACTTGGTGGGACAACGCCAAATATGTATAACTTCCAAGCACCCCAATTTTCTATCCAGTTGTTCCAAACTTTTGCCTGTATTTTGAGGGTCAGGAATCCAAATATGTAAAAAAATATATGTATTTATTCAGAGAAAGTGCGTTTTCGTGTCTGATTTAATTTAATTAATAGTTAGCTCTAATTAATTAGCATATTTAGAGTCACCCTCAGAAACCATTAAGGTTACACTTGGTGGGTGAAAATCTGATCATGAGAGCGAAAGTTATTCAGGGAGATATCCTTTTTCTGAGCACTTTTCAAGTATATAAAGAACGTGTGAGTTATACACATAGATATACACTTGTCTGCTCCTTTGAAAACACAAAAAACCGATTGTAGGTTTGAAATCAGCGATGAGATAGTATCTAAATCTGTCTAAAATTGTTCCCCAAAATAATCCAAGAAAGACAAAGATTTGTTTTAGAAAATCAAAGTTTATTTCGATGATTTCTTTCTGGTGAAGCATGACATCTATTTGCAGTCACTTCGGTGTCCTACCTTGGGTGCACCTTGAGGTTGCCCTGCTTTGCTCACACAGAAGCAGAACAATGTTCCGCCGTCGTTCTTCTTGCACTGCTCCGGTTTATATTCACCATTGGAATAGCAATTAGGAACATAGGGATCCTCTACAAATATATAAATGTCACATTAGAATATTTTTGGAATAAATATTGATAGAATCAGCGAATGCGATACTAAGCTGTTTTCGCTACGGGCTATACTCAAAATGTATATAGATCTTCATGGGTTGTTTAATCGTGGCATTTGCTTACGTTAGCAACTGTTCTTTCCATTCTATTTCGAGTAAGCCTGTCAAGAATCAATTCTATTTAGTGACTCATTCTATATTCCTATACAAAGATTCTTTCATAAGGATTTAAATTTTTTCACTATATAATTCTTACTTAGCACAAAGACAAGTATGAAGAACATAAACCATCGATGTTGCCAGGTACATAAAACAAAAAATATATCACGGTTACAATAAAAAACATAAACAAATAATAAATCTAAGTTAAGTGAAGGACGAGAAAGAATTATATTTCAGGAAATTTGATGTGCGACACGGCACCGTATTTAATCAATTTTACGTTAATTAACGTTCTGACTTATGTGGAGTAACTTAGCTCAACTTTAATATGCCATTTTGCTTAAAAACCATCAGCTGGAGCTGAACGTCATAGATCACACGTGTGGATATTGTGATCATCTTCTTCTTGAAGTACCCAATTTAATTTAAACCCTAATTAAGAGTAAAATTATCAGGGTAAATTTATAATTTTGTCTAGTAAGAGGAATAGACTCAAATTATTGCGAAAGCTTTCGATTAAATACCTTTAAAATATTAAAGGAGCCAATGTTTGCAAATAAAATCACATGCATAAATAAATAGAACGGGTAATATCCGAATGAAATAAGTTACTTCTTGCACAATTTTCTGAAAACACAATTAAGAGTTTAGATGCATGTCCAAAAAATTTACGCGCTATTATTTTGACAAATATTGCAATAAAAGCAAGTTCTTTAAATTTATTTATTCATCTTTAAAATAATTTTTCAAGCATTTTAGTATTTTTTTAATCATTATTTTAAGAAATACTTCTGCCACATAAGACCATTTTTTGACTCGTGAAATGTAAGACTGTTTAAAAAAAATATTATTTACGTAACGCTCATATTTTTTGCCATAAATTTATTTAAAATAATCTGATGTCCTATATAGGGAGTTATTGTATAGTTAATTTTATTTAAAAAGAAAAATGTTTCGCATAAGTAGTGAGTATTTAGTATATCTATGGAATTCAGAATTGGCTGCTGTTATCGCTAATGCTCCCTAAATTGGAAAATGCTCCCATATATTCGACCTATAGTACAGCCTCATCCAATCATGATCAAGAACCTAGCTCCATTTTTAGAGCTCTATCTTTTAAGGGATGCCGAATCATTTCGACCCTGGTCAGACAGTGTGGACAGTGGCTGAACTGATATCCCTCTCTCTCCAACCACTATACGACCAACGAGAGGGACTTTCAATCACGACAGATTTAACTTACACTCTGGTGAGTATGCACACGCCTTAGTCTACAGCCAGGATTGAACTCACGACTACCCGTTTTATGAATCTTATTAAATCCTTGTCATGCTTCTTCATAGTAGCGTAATTATTACATAAAAAAATATGATGGAATTCTTAACTTTGAACTGGTCTAAATTGTGCTGATTAAAAATCTGCGTACGTGGACAAAAACGTCTTCAATAACTGATTGCAATTTTAAGTTAGTAGATAAGTTGGATATCCCCTTATTTTTACAAATTCTTTCAACCAGTTAAGCATTGATTCAACTGCTACAGATGTTTCTAACATTATAAAAAATTTTTCCTGTTGAGATATTTAAGCATTTCTTTGAATGGTAATTTATGAAACTTGACTTTTGGTTTGAGTAAATAGGCTCGATTGAGTTTAGGTCTGGAGACTAAGGTGGGGTAGGGAAATAGTTTAGTATATTGCAAAATAATTCAAACCTTACAACGTGCACCATCTGTTCAGGATCTTAGTCCTGCCTGAAATTAAATAGCTGATCATTTTAAGCTTCTAGGCACTTTGACTAAGATTTTTTTACAGCATGTTTAAGTAATCAATAATTGTCGAACCTGTAAACATTACCAACCCCACTTCTCCCAATAAAAAAGAATTTCCCCTCTAAAATCACTCATATTTAAATATTTTTTTTAGGAAAAAATCATCTACGCACTATATGACTATATGACATTATAAATTAATTTCACTGCTGTATTTTGCAACTTTAATAAAAATATGCGTTTCTATGGCAAAAAGGGGATGCAAATTTATTATAAAGATATTTCGAGAAATATTAGATTGTAAACTAAGTTAAAATAAATATTTTTAGTGTTAATGATGTGGATTACATTCCACTTTCTCCGCCCTGTCATTTGACATTCAACAAGAATTTGCTTGTAAAAGTTGGTTTATTCTCCCTCAAACTCTACTGGATGATCAGAATTAAAAGCGTCTAAGTTCTATATTTAAACTTGGTGTGCCAACTACGAGTCATTATTTCAGCCATGGTATCCCTTTCATACACAGTACACATGTTACGAGCAGCTTTTGCAGCCTGGAACCTCGGTTAAAAGCAAAAGTGGAGGTGTCATAAATGCTAATTTATCTCAACTTGACATTCCATTTGGATGATCTGAGAATGAAGAAAATTAGCTCCAAAAAAAATCCGTTAGAATAAGACCACGTCTTACGAATGATCTAAAACATTATGGTAAAAATATTTAATGGCAAGACCAGTGTCACATTTTAAGAAATGGCAGAACATCAGTTGTATCTCCATAGATGCCAGATCGAAAAAAGTAAAATTTCGAAAACTGGAAGTTAACTTCTGACGGAGTTAACTTCCACTTTTCGAGATATCTTTGTAAGTGCTGGAATGGGTTTTTAGATTGTTAATCCAAAACATATTAAGCTCTGTTTGTCTTTCGAAAAAAAGTTGCACATTCACATAATTCGTTATAAGATCTTTAAGAGATTAATTTAATAAAGTATGAGTAAATTTCCCTGCGTTAGTTTCAATAATTACACCGTGGAAAACTTTTGTTGCGTTTTTACAAGATTTTGTCTAATTCAGGTGTGAAGATTTAAAATCTGGAATAAGTTTTGTTCCAAACAATTAAATTTTTTCAATAAGAAAAAATTTTTAGATTAGTTTATTTGTGCTTGAATCGACAAGTGCATATAGGATTATATTCATATTTGTGCACTAGTTTCCCCCTTTGAAAAAAAACACTTAAGACAAAAAAAAATAAGACTTTAACGTATCGCATCGTAAATTAAATGTATTATTGCATTCTTCCTACCACTCCTTATGTAGCAGAGAAGTGGCGACATTTAGATGTCACTCGAGTGAATTTTAAAAAAATCCTGTTTACGAATATATTATTGAATTGCATTAAAGCTGTCGGAAAGAAATCGATCGTAGATTTGAAATCAGCGACGCGAAAATATCTGCTCAGAAATCACGCGCAACAGAAAAAGAAAATGTTATTTATCTCCAAAAAAATTACAAACACTTACTTGATTGTAGTGCCTGTTTTCGTTGTTTTTTGCATGCTGGATGATCAGCTAAAGCAACAGCAACGACGCTGAGGACAAGTAGAACAATGTAAACCTTCATTTTCTTTTCTATCTGTTAAGATAAAAAATTCAGTTAATCATTCGTTCGAAAATAGTAACGACAGTGATTGTTCTAAAAGTTTCATTTTAAAAAAGTTAATGTAAAAAAACTCTTCAGAATCTCCCAATGCTTTATTTATTTATTTTTTTTTAGAAAAATGCCCATTTTCCTGCTGTTAAGCGTTAAGATAAATAAGAAATTTTGATTAACGTTGCAGTTGCATGCTAACGCTATTTGAGTTTCGAAGCTCATGCGCGCACATTTTTGCTGGTTCACTAAGAGTTAAAAAAAAAAGATTATTGCAACGGTTTATCACGAAGAAAGTTGTCGATATAGTCTAGTTAATTCGATTTGTTGGGTTTTTACAGGGGTAAAGAGTGAATAGAAGGGCTGGATCACTCCTTTGAAGAGATCTCGTGTCTGTCCGAGCTTTTGACTTCAGCCAGTGATTTCAGTCAGTGAGCTTGAAAATAAATTGCTTTGCACGTAACAGGCATTCTTTTTTATTAAAAACGTATTTCATTACATTCATTGATTTCCATATTTTTATTTCTATTTTGAGGTGATTTTCTTCTCATATGATAGAAAAAATTTTACAGTAGTAGTCAAATATCAGATAGCGACCGGCAAGAATTTATTATAATACATCAAATGAATTATAAAATGTACAAGGAGAATTTATCCTGCTGCAAAATAAAAAGTATGATGTTATATGTTTTTCGTTTTTTAATTTGTCCATTGAAATCGATACCGTCTTGTAACTTTAAACAGAAAAGAAGAAGAAAAATTTAGTAGGTCGAAGGAAATAAAATCCTGAACTTCAAAAATAAAAAGTTCTTAATGCTTAAAAGTTCTTACAATTTCATAATATATTTTTTAAAGTTAGCAGTGTTCGCAATTTTGATCCCCTGAGGGGATGGCTCCTCTACTTCGGTAGCCCAGCGACCTGCACCCCAATTCAAATCACTTAACGGTAGAGCAGTATAACGAGAACCGATACCACGCACCATCAGTCCATTTGCAAGTTGATCATAGTGGTCACCCACCCGCACACTGACCGCAGTCAGTGATGCTTGACTTCGGTGTTCTACTGGGAACGGTGTCAGTCCACACCGCGGGACTATTCAATGTGCATTTGAAAAATAAATTATAATGATTTGGTATGCACATTTTTCACTTTGAGTTTCATATTGAAAGCAACGAAGATGCGTTTTATGCTGGTACAGTTTCAATTACGTTCATTTTGAGCCATGTCCATTATTTTCAATTTATACAGTATGTGTCCATGTTCTTTAGCATGCGTTTTCAGCTATGTTTATTGTCTTAAACGAGCTTTTTTAGCTATATCCACTGTTTCAAGAGCCCATTTCAAATAATATCAATTTTCTTAAAGCTTGCATTTTGAATCACGAAATATAATTAAAATTTTTCGGACAAAATGTTAGGTTTAAAAAGTGCAATACTTCATCAGAGCCCGCTCTAAGAATTTCAAATTATTAGCCAGTAAATTAACCAAATATAAAATGTATGCCACCAATTTTCGAAAGTCTTCGCCAAATGCAAGTCTTAAACAATTTTTTATGATTAATTTTTTTCCCATAGAAAAACTATTTCACGGTAGTTTGGTTTCAGACTTATATTATTTGGACCCAATTCTAATTGGTTATGCGACGCATCTACCGAAAATTACTGCAATCGAAAAATTCGTTTAATTTCTTTCCAGTGGAAAAACTTATTTGCCAAAACACAATTTTATTTGCCGAATTTACGATTTTATCAGATTTTGCGAGGTGACGAATGCTTATTGTAGGGCCCTGATTAATGTCTTCTGCACTTCTCAGATAAACAAAAAAATTATTAAAAGAATGAAACAAATAAAAAAAAAAGTATTATTATTTCATGTAACGGACCCATGGCTTCAGGGGACAGAGCGTTCGCCTTACAATGAGGTGAAACGGGCTCGATTCCCAGTGATGGCTGGTCCATACGAATCCCTCACCCGGCTCGCACCGACAACAGTGCTGATGTAAAAGTATCCTCAGTAGTAGATGCATCATGAGTTATAGTCCCCTTAGCGTCGGGCTGACCGCGCGAGGTTTTCGTAGTTCTTCTCTTCATGTATCGTAGTTCTTCACGTTTCGTAGTTCTTCTCTATCATGTCTCTTCATGTAACGCAAATGGGGATTAGTTTCATCAGCGAAGGCAAAATTTCCACCAATGCATGATCCAGGAGTTGCCTTGTCTTCTTGGTTGAGTTCAAAATGACAGAATGAGTTGAACCCAAAATCGGATAGGCTGCTCAAAGAAGGTTAAAATAAAATAAAATTCATGTAATGCTTACCTCTAGAAGTTGATCACTATAGTTCAAGCACTCTAATCAAGTGGTGAAGAACATCTTTCTCGCCTTCCCATTTTATACCATTCTGTCAGCTTTCAAAACAAACATTAATTCATATCCTTATCATTTATTGATCCAAATATAAGAGAAAAACAACTGTTAAAATAAATTACTGTTAAATCAATTATTTTTCTGGTTAGATCCAATGTTTATCCATATGCCTTTGTGATGATTATCTGAAATACAAATAATTTGGTAACTTATACAAAAAGTAAAATGCTTCTATGTTTATTTTGCTTCACACATATTTATTGAGTTTATATTGGTATTGAAATCTCAACCTTGAAATATCCTTTACTGGATTCGTAAACTTGTAATTCGTAATCATTCAGTATTCCAGGAAATAAAAATGATTCTAAAAGAATAATGTCATTTGTTTTATAGATAGAGATTCAAAAAAGTTCATTATGTATCAGTATTCATTCTTATTAAAATAATATTTTAACTCTTTACTTCTTCGCATAAAAATTTTAAGTTTCAAAATTGTTTATTCTGAAATACCTTAATCGATACTTTCAGGAACTATATTATTTATTCTAATGCAAAAAAGAGTGTCCCGCAGTGGACTGATCGTTAAGACACGGTTCCCAGCAGATCACCGAAGTCAAGCATCACTGGCTACGGTCAGTGTGCGGGTGGGTGACCACTTGGATCAGTCTGCGTAGGGACCGAGGGTGTGCGGTATTGGTCCTCGTTAAACTGTGCTACCGTAAAGTGCTCGACTTCGCGCGCAGGTCGTCGGGCTACCGAAGCTGGGGTGCCATCCCTTCCGCAGAGGATCAAAATTGTGATGGCATGTCTTCGGATCATCCTCCGGGATGTTTCCCCAGACTGTCGCCAATAGCCCATTGTGCAGCTCTAGTGCGACGTAAAGTAACAACAACAACAACAACAAAAAAGAGTTTCCATTCCAGCGTTGAAACGCATTAAAAGACAACGAATTTTTTTCCCTTCTTAAGTGCCAGAAAATGGCAACAGTTACCCTGTCACGGTTGCCTTTCTTTTGTACTATGCTTAACTGCCTGCATTTAAGATGAGGTTATCGTTTTTAATTTTTTTTTTCACTTTTAATTAATAGTTTGGAAAATTCTTTTTAATCGTTTGGTAATTTCGTTTTATTAGAATTTCGTAAGTGCTCTTCGATATTTCTATCTTTAAATGATGTAAATTTGCAGGTTTGCCACTGGCGACTATAAATGCAAGAAGTGGAGACTAAGATATCTCAAAGTTTTTTTAAAAGATATTAAATTTAGTAACTTCCCTTTTCAAGAATATTTTTAGTTTCTCATTCATGATTCGCCGATCACGGTGCTGACGTAAAATGTTCTCAATGGTAGACGAATCATGGGTTCCCTTGCCGCCAGGCTAACTATGGAAGGTTTACGTAGTTTTCCTCTGAATGTAACGTGAATGCGGGTTTGTTCTATCAAAAAAGTTCCCCAGGACTGCAAATTTCTCCCATTGCTTGATCCAGGAGTTCCCATGTCTTCTGGATTGACTACAAGACTGCGGAGTTGAATATTAGTAGTCCCAAACCGAAAATTGGGTCAGCTGTTCGACGACTGTTATAAATAAATTAATTAAATTAGAGGGGAGAGATGATTCTTTCTTACGCAAAATGTGCAATTACAATGAACTTAATGGTTGTAAATTTAGGGAGAGAAAAATTGTTTGTCATGACTTATAACGGGCTGTTCAAATGTTGAAAAAGAGAAGAATTGATTGATTTAAATTCGAATTTTGAAGAAAAAAATTCAAAAATCTTAAATTGTAAAATAATTTTCAGAAAACAAAATAGAAATCTTCGCAAAAATAAAAAATAGAGTAAACATTTGAAACTTGATATGTGCATTTAGTTTTAACAAACGTGACCCCCAAGCTCAATCCTGAGATTGGGCCAGAGGGCATTTTCAAAGTATGGTACCCCTATTTTTCAGTGCAGATTTGTATTCTATACAAAAAATGTATCTCAATTCGACCTGCAGGTCTATTGTTTTCGATTAACAGGTGGCTGTGTAATCGCAAACAAGTTAAGTAGTTTAAAATGGAGATTTTTTTAGAAATGTACGCCAGACACAGAAAAAAAACCCAACTGTGTTTGATATTTTAAAAAAAGAAAAGAAAGAAAGAAAGAAAAGGAAAGATTGAAAGCAGCAATTGTTCTGCTGTCAAAATGATAGCGGAGGAAAAAACAACCGGAAGGAGTTCAGGAGTGTATGTTCAGTTGGTTGCGCTTTGTTAAAGGTATCTTAGAATTTATTCTTTCCAAGTTTCAAAATTACTTGCAAAGTTTGTCATTAGAGGGCAACACTAACTAAGAAAAATTATAAAATATGTTTCTTAGTTTCAACTGTATCATCTTTTGACGAAATCACTACTAGTTGTGAAATTTCTAACTGATAAGTGGGAATGTCCTGACATGTGGCACAAAGCAATGTTTCTTAGCTTCAGCAGCACCATCTGATGACGAACTTTACAACTCATTGTGAAATTTCGTGAGAGTTTGCATGCAGTCTATCCATTTCTATTTCCTTCTATTTTTCTAAAATCGATTTTTCTAAATCATCCATAATTTTAGAGATGTACCTGCCATTGCGTTCATTTTAAAATGACAGGCATCGATATTTCAATCTCTATGAAATTGTACAAAACCACAAAATATCAATTTGGACATAAATACTATTATTTGGACATAAAATATTATATCTTAAATAAATTTAGGCCGTAAAATTTGGTAGTTGTAACTTTATGATTTTTGTCAACACTATTAATTCCTCGTTTTGTGCAACTGTTTTTACTCACCTGTCACTTATAATGAGAAGGTGCTTTGAAGAAGTGTAAAGTCAATAACGTCTTATTAATATTTTGTTCAGCTGATAAGACGTAGGACGTTACAGTTTCATATCAGGTCTAATTTTTGTTCCTGACTATACGGTGTCTACAATGGGTGTCATAAACATCTATCTCTGTGATTTTATAGTAATATTTATAGTTCCTGTTTCCACAGTGTATTAAGAAACAACGATTTGTTAATAAGAATAAAATTCGCTACAACACTATTAGAGTTGTTTCAAAAAAGGGTAATATTTTTTTTAAATTTAAGAAATTACATAAGCGCATTATTATGGCTCATTTTATCAAAAAATTTTCATGATAGTGTATTAACATAAACTTAAAAAACTTGATAAGACCCACAAAAAATCTATCAGAAAACTCAACTTACCGTTAGTTTTGGATATCAACTTCAAGAGAGCTTTAGCCGGCGACCCCGAGATGCCCAGTGTGTTTAACTGGTACGCACGGCTCCCACGGTTCAGGGGGAAAACCTTTATTTTGACTCTGAAAAGCAGGGAACAGTCAGGAAAAGTTACAATTGTTTACAAAAACCTGGAACCACATCATACCTGGAAAGTACTTTTTTCCATACCTTTTCAATTTCATCCATAGATATACACATTTCAACGTTTCTTCCTCACGGTTGGATTTCTCTTCTCATTATTTACTCGTTAATGATGAGCCACAAAGAGTGTTACCTCGATGTGCACATTACCTTGCTAACCCCCACATTAGCTAATGTGTTCCATTGAAATGCAACATCGAGAATTTTCCGCATTTTTCTTTTATAATGTGCACATTAACGGACCCGTATCGAAATTTTATTTCTCTCATTTTTTTGTAATAATATTTTCATTTAATTCACATTCATTTTATTCGCATTCATTTTATTCGCATTTAATTGTAATGATATTTTAAACCTTTTGTTGCTTTGTATTATAGCACGATTATAGCTATAAAATTGATGGATGATCGATTGAATCAACACATGTGTTAATTGCTTGATTGTATTCACTTCTTTTTTCTTTAGACAAGGGGAAAAAATAAATAAAATTATGATAATTTAAGCGTACAGAAGAAAAGTTGTTGTACAGAAAAGTTAAGCGTACAGAAAAGCGTTCAGAAATTAAACTATTTTAGCACTAGTTGCCCTTGTTTCACTACTAGTAGTTACATGCTATTTACTAGTTTCACCCTAGTTAATCTGCACATTAACTAGACAATCTGCAAAATAACTCTGCACATTAGAGGTGACAAAGATGGAATTAAAATACAGCAGTATATAAATTCAACGAGAGATCGGAGAAAGTAATTAGAAAGCAGTTTCGGGATATCAACGAGCGAAAATCCATCCCTGTTAATACAATTTTTACAACGAATTTAAGGGTTGCCCCCACCGAAAAAAACAAAAAAAATGATTTAAGAAAGATGAAAAAGAATCCCTATTTACTAAAATATACTTGCAAATTCAAGGACGTACGACTATAAAATCAAGTTAACCTTTTCGGGAGTCATAAATATATTCGCATGGAATCAGAAACAGGATGGAAAAAAATAAAAAAGCTGTAGCTTAGGTTTGGCGTGGCGTGGCTAATTTGACATCCTTATTTTGGCTTTCACTTTAAATCTAATACATTCAATCTATGTGAGTTAAGAGTGTAACTATATAATTTTTAATTTGAATTAAGTCTTGGTGAATGAAATAAAGAAAACTATTATAACACCGCCCACAAATAAACTGCTATAAAAATAGTTTGACCACCAGCTTTATCTTTTTTAACCTGACTGCCGCCACCCTGAGATTGCATATACGACACGCCCGTCCCGAAGAGGTTAGCACGTTGCGAGAGGGCTACGTAAAAATACGTTTTGGAATTTTATGCGATCCATGCAAAAGTTTAAAAAGTGGTAGCAAAACTACTTCGTTTCCTCTCTGTTTTTCAATAAATTTATCCATTAGTGATTGCCAAAAATGATTCAATATATATGTAATCAGTACTAGAATCGTTCGTCGTAAATTTTTGTTTTAAATTGAAGCTGTAGCTATTGTTACCCTTATGAAACCTAGCCTACTGTTATATTTTTCTGGTAAAATTGCTCTCATGCAAATATGGTCCCGCAGTGGACTGATCGTTAAGACACGGTTCCCAGCACATCACCGAGGTCAAGCATCACTTGGCTACAGTAAGTGTGCGGGTGGGTGACCACTTGGATCAGTCTGCGTAGGGACCGAGGGTGTG